ATAACCACATGCAGAAAAATAAAATTGGACCACTATCTTAGACCACTCCCCAAAATTAACTCAAAATAGATTAAAGACTTAAACTAACACGTGATACCATAAAATTCCTAGAAGAAAACATATGGAGGAAGCTCCCTGACATCGGTCTTAGCCACAATTTTTTAGATATCACACCAAAAGCACAAGCTACAAAAGCAAAAATCAGGAAGTGGGAGTACATCAAACTAAAAAGCTTCTGCACAGCAAAAGACACAATCAAAAAAACAAAGAAAGAAAGAAAAGACAACCTACGGAATAAGAGAAAATATTTGCAAACCATATATCTGATAAGAAGTTAATATCCAAAATATACAAAGAACTCATACAACTCAATAACAAAAACAATCCAATTTTTAAAATGTGCAGAGGAACTAAACGGACATTTTTCTTAAGAAGACATACAAATAGCCAAAAGATCATTTTTTTAGAGTCACAAGCAGTTGACTGACTCAGTGTGACTCAAGACCACAAAGAAACCATTTCTAATTCACACTGTTCTGAGTCCTGGGGTTGGGGCCCAGGCTGGCAAGAATGATGCTTGGGACCCATTCCCACGCAAACGCACTCAACATCACTAATCATCAGGGAAATGCAAATCAAAACCACAGTGAGATATCATCTCACATCTATTAGAATGGTTATCACCAAGAAGACAAGAAGAGATAACAAGTGTTGGTGAGGATGTGGATCAAGGGGAACCCTAGCACACTCTTGGAGGGAATGAAAACTAGTCCAGCCACTATGGAAAACAGTACAGAGTTTCCTCAAAAGATTAAAAAGGGAACTACTATATGATCCAGCAATTCAACTTCCGGGTATATATCCAAAGGAAATGAAAACAGGATATTGAAGAGATATATGCACTCCCATGTTTATTGCAGCATTATTCACAATAGCAAGGTATGGAAACAACCATAGGGTCCATTTGCAATGAATGGATAAAGAAGATGTGGTATACATATGCAAGAAAATGTTATTTGGCCATAAGAAAGAAGGAAATCTTGCCATTTGCAATAACGTGGAGAGACCTTGAGGTTATTATGCGAGGTGAGAAAAGTCAGAGAAAGACAAATAGTATACTGTATGATACCACTTATATGTAGAATCTAAAAAAGCCAAACTCATAGAAACAGAGAGTAGACTGGTGGTTACCAGAGGCTAGGAGGTGGAGGAATTGGGGCGATGCAGTTTAAGGTTGCAAACTTTCAACCAGTAGATAAGTTCTAGAGATCTAATGCATAGTACAGTCGTTATAGACATACCTTGGAGAAATCACAGATCCAGTTCTAGACTACCAGAATAAAGCGAATATTGCAATAAAGCAAGTCACACAAATTTTTGGTTTCCCAGGGCATACAGAAGTTATGTCTATACTACACTGTAGTCTATTAAGTGTGCAGTAGTATTATGCCTTGAAAAACAACATACATACCTTAATTTTAAAATACTTTATTGCTAAAAAATGTTTTCCATCATCTGAGCCTGCAGCAAGTCACAGTAGTAACGTCAAAGATCACTGATGGGCTTCCCTGGTGGCGCAGTGGTTGAGAGTCCGCCTGCCGATGCAGGGGACACGGGTTCATGCCCCGGTCCGGGAAGATCCCACATGCCGCGGAGCGGCTGGGCCCGTGAGCCATGGCCGCTGAGCCTGCACGTCTGGAGCCGGTGCTCCGCAACGGGAGAGGCCATGGCGGTGAGAGGCCCGCGTACCACAAAAAAAAAAAAAAAAAAAAAATCACTGATCACAGATCACCATAACAAATATAATAATGAAAAGGTTTGAAATATTGTGAGAATTACCAGAACATGACACAGAGACACAAAGTGAGCAAATGCTATTGAAAAATGGCACTGATAGATTTCCTCGATGAAGTGTTGCTACAAACCTTCAATTTGTAAAAAGCATAGTATCTGCGAAGTGCAGTAAAGCAAAGTTCAATAAAATGAGGTCTGCCTGCATAGACAATACTATATTACAAGCTTCCAAGCTGCTAAGAGATTAGATCTGAGTTGCTCTCGCCACAAAAAAGAAATGACAATTACATGACAGAAGTGTTACCTAACACTCTGATTACTGCAATAAATGTATCACATTTTGTACACCTGAACATTTACAATGTTATATGTCAATTATATCCCCATAAAAATTAATTTTTTTTAAAAAAGGAAAGGATCTCATCATTTTGCCCTTATTCTTACCATGTTATTGCAATCCTAATAGGCAGAATTAGGATAGCCAGCCAAGCAGCAGTAGTAGAAGCAGTACTAACAGAGAATTTACCATATGCCAGGCTTTGTTCTAAGCACTTTAAATTTTTATTTTATTCTGACAATAACTCTATAAAGTAGGAACTATTATCTTCATTTTGCATATGAGGAAACCAAGGCAAATAAGGGTTAATTTATCCAAGGTCAAAAAGCCAGTAAGTGGCAGAGTAAACTTTTGTGCCAAGGCAGTCTGTCTCTTTCCAAATTCATGCTCATAACCACTCCTCTTTACTTCCCATTAATCACCTATTTTGGTGGGACTGGGGAAGGGGGGGTCATTAAAATCAGTAAGTGTATTCCCTATTCAAAGATTTATTTAAGTATTAAAGTCTGAAGAAAGTATTATTCTGTTCTTCATTTTCCACCTACCCAAACAGCTGTTTTTCTACATTCCCAACAAACTTCGGATCAGGTACATGTTTAGACTCCATAGATGAAATGTCCCTTGACAGTCTTCATTCATGTCTTTAGGTGTCTCCCCTGCCACCAGGAAATCTGAGCAGTATTCGCTACCACTGTGCTAGAGTTGCTAGGGGGAGCCCGTCCTCTAGTGGTCCCATGCTGCTATGCAGCTAGTTAAAGCGTTCACAGAAATTGCCTCAAAGACATTTTTTTACTATTAGGTGCAGTGGCAGAACACACGTAAGACAAAAGAAAATACTAAAAAGCAAACAGCAACCTTCATGGTCGGTCTTAATGCATCATTGTGTGTAACTGAGGGGATGACGCTAGTCTTAGATTGATAGGGCAGAACATGAGGTCTCAAAGGACAATTATTTCACTCCTGAGACGTAGACTTTAGTATACTAGAGCTTTTTAAAAAACACACCACCCCCATATCTTAGTAACTTTCAAAAAGGGACTGAAAATGACAATTTTCATTCTGAAATAAATGTCACACGACATGGTTTCAACCATGGTTGCTGTGAAAACCATACCAAGCCTATACATTCCCCAGGCTGAAGGGACTTGCAAGTAAATGTAATCCTCTTCCTTTTTCCTTTCTTTCTCAAGAGAATATGTGATGGATGGGGAGCTCCTGAGTATGAGTTCTAGTCACAAACCATATGTATTTTCCTCATGTACAGTTAAGAGGCAATAACAGAAATGATTTTTTTTAAAAGCCAAAAAAAAGCTAAATATAACCAAGTGCAATCTTAGCCAGTTCTGATAACAGATCAGACACGAAGCTACCAGATTTATCAGCAGCTGCGCGACATGATATCCAGTTTTCCTTTTCCCAGGCCATAGCGTCTATGTACCAAAGTAAAATTTGTCTTCAATGCTACTTTCTTGGGCCCAAATATTAACTGACCCTGGAGCATATAAATGAGACCTTCTGCAACTATAACAAAGCATATAAGGAATACTTATGTCCTGTAGCTAGGAACAATCAAAATGAGAATGAGTGAAAAAAGGAAAAACCCAACTTTCTGATTTCTGGTCCCTCTTCACTGAAATCACTGTTAATTCAACAAGTATATATTTATGGCATAAGGAAAATACTGAGTAGATAAAAATGAAGACATGGTCCTTATATCAAAGAGCTCACAAACCAGTGAGAATTTCAACAGCAACCCCCAATAACAAGGGAGATCACCTTTCAGACTGAGGGGATAAGTAACGTTTCACAAAGCAGCACTTTCCAGGATGGGAAGGATTTCACCAGGCAGGTAGAGAAGGGAAGGAATTCCAGGCAGAGGGAATCGCAAGCACTCAATGCCCATGCTGCTGATGGCATCTGCAGAATGACTAGTGTGCGGGAGCTGACTGAGTGAAAGGGAAAACTGAGAGCTGAGGATGAAATGGTACTTTGGACTTTAATCTGTAAGCAAAGGAAAATTATTAAAGGTAATCAATGAGTAGGGGAGGAAAGGGCATGAGCAGGGTTTGGTTTCAGGAAGGTTATTCTGGTGTCAACACGTAAGCTGAACTAGGGCTGAGAAAGCTGGAGGCAAGCCAACTACCTAGAAGGTTATCAGAATGGAGGAAGTGAGGAGTAATAAGCTCACATGACAACCGTGAAGGCAGATGTCAATGTCTAACCAAGGGGGTTGAGCTGGAAAAATTATCATCTGCATCTTCTACCCAAAAAAACCCCCTGCAGTTTAGGATACAAGTTTATCCATGATAGTGCCTCACAACCTCAGTAATGATAAGAAAGGCCGTGGTTGGGGAAGCCATCCAAGCCCTTCCCTGGGAGGGCGAATGGGGGAGGTGTATCAGAATCTCTGGAGAGAGCAGTATGTTATTTTAAATTGAAAACAAAAAAAGAGAGAGAAAAAAAAAAGAAGTACCCATATCATTCTGATTCATCTCCTGTGACAATCACTGAATGAGAACTCCAAGATCCTTCTGGCTTCCAAAGTCTATGACTCTCACTTTAGTTCTATCTCATGCGTTGATTCCCTTCATTTATGCTGACCATAGTTCTGGGATATGAAAGGTGGCCTAGATCACAAAGATAATTTGAAGCAAATGAAATTAACTGTACCAGCAAATAAATAATAAATACAAATGATCTCGACAAGGAGACTCTGTGTGTTTAGAAACATGAGGACAGAGGTCTAGCCTTAACTTCTTAAAACCTCCATTTCTTGAAAATGAGTAATAGATATAAAATGTCCTTTTATTACCTACTGGCCACCTATATTGGGTCAATTAAATAAAAAAGATAATGAAACAGGCAAATAGAAAGATAAAAGAGACACTACCTCTTTCCGTATTTTTAATTACCATTATTGCACCAATACAGCATACATATGCTCTATATACATATATCTGAAACTTCATTTTCAATTCTTCAGCAATTCAAATACATAATATATTATCATCTTGAGAATACAAAGAACACAACATAGAGGAAGATTGAGAAAATAGGCTCCCAGCAGTTAGTCACTAGTGATTCTATAGGCTTTCTTTTTAGTGTTTTCTATTGGAATTTTTAAATGTCCTGTCATGGCTCTGCAAGAATAGAGCTGCCTGGAACGGGAAGCAATGAAAAAAAAAAAAAAAAATGGACCCAAAGTTAAAAAGAGTCAAGAAGGAAATCCAAGAGAGAGAATCTATTTTGAAACTATATATAAGGACTCCCTTCAGCCAGACGGTACCATCCAAATAGGTGCTAAGGGAAGAAGTGAGATCCTCCCGTTTCACTCTCAGAATTGCCCCTTAGCAGACAAAATAGCTGGTGCCAGTTCATCTAAGAGCGGGACCCCTTCACAGCATTGTAAAAGGAATGGTGGGCAGAGAGAGGGGAAGTGGTGGGGGGCAACTTGCTTCTGAGATACTCCTGGTGATGGGTATTGCAGCCGGCGTTTGGGCAAAACCTACCACAGCTAAAGTCATGGCTCTCCAGCTTGCTTCATAAACGATGGTACATGTAATAGCAGCTTTCTGTTGAAGAGCTGGTGGACTGAAAAAATAACTGTGTATGAAAAGGAGCCAGATACCCAGGCAGCAAGGCAATGTGGGTACTGAACAAGAGTTAAGTGCTTTCAACCTCTCTGGTCTACAAATTAGGTTAAAAACTCTAAACCCTTTAACTTTAGGACAAATAATGGGGCCATTACAAAGTAACGCTGTGCTTCAAATGCAGCAACTAGATGGAGCTGCAAGAAAGTAACTGCTTCTCTAGAAAATAAGTAGGGAAACATAGTCCCTTGAACCTCCTTCACCCAAGAGACACCCGCTGATCAGAGATGCTGCACTGTCAACGAAAGGAGAGTGGGGCGCCACCAACACAACCCTCTTGCCACAGGAGGACACATGCAAACGCACTACAGGGTCAGGGGGCTGCACCCAGCACTGGATGTTCACTGAATAAGACAAGCCTGAGGGAGGATATATAGCAGAGACCCAGGAAACAGGTCTTTCTTCACACCTACGCCTATCAAAATTCTGAATCTGTAAACACTGTGATCAGTCTGTCCATTTTTAGAGTCTTCAGTTAATGGAAAAGGAAGTTCTGAGGGTTTTGTCTCCCCTGAAATTGCTAAACAGAGCTTCACAAAGAGGCACACAAGGGTCATGAGATGATTCTGAAAGAAGTTAAAGAATTTAAAGATGGAGAAAATTTTACAGATGTTGGAGGTTATTTCCCCACCAAAGAGACCCTGGCCTTTAGAGCCCTGCAATAGCCACAAGTATCATAAGACTCACTATTCCCCTGCCCTGACAGTGAACAGGAGATAAGAATACTTTCTTGGCTGTACAGCAAGGAACACCACCGGGGAGTGACACACCAGCCTGAACGCAATGGAGAAGCTATGAAAACAACCGTTCAGTAATTTTGGTTCTGGGGAGGGAAGGGGTTCCGAGCTCCCCTCACAGATTGGTGCCCTCAAGTCATTTTGATTTTTCAAGTCTGTCCTTAACATCCTGCCGTGCTCCTCAGAACTGGACCCAGTTGGATGGCTGTGGTGCCTGGTTTGGAACAGAGCTGCAAGACAGAACAGAGAGATAGCCAAAGGCATATTAGGATAGGGACTCCAGCCTTAACAGTAAGAAATTTCTGCCCAGAGTTCCTGAAACTATACTTCACAGCAATTCTACTTATTAAGGCCTGAGATATTCCACTCAAGCTTCATGCTACAGCTTTGTTATCCCACCATCCCCAGCACTCCTATACTTCCTTACCTAGAATTCCTGCTGAAGACTCTATATGACCTACAAATGCCCTGCTTTCCCAGATCAGAGACTTCATTTGACTGTACACACATCATCGATACCCTGGTTGAGAGTATGCTGGTTTCCCTATGCTAATACCTGGATGCAGTGCTAAAGTCACCCCACAAGTCATTGCTTGCAGAAACTGGAGCTGGTGCTGGTGTTGTTACAGGAGCAGGAGAATCCAAATCTAAAAGGATATCTGAATACAAGGTAAGAGAAGAAATAAGAAAAGGGGAAACATAATAAAAATTTTAGAAACAAAAACTTATGTTCTCACAAAAACCTATACGTAAATGTTCACAGTGACTTTGTTTGTAACAGCCAAAAACTGAAAACGACCCAGATGCTTTTCCATGGGTGATGATTAAACATACTGTGGTACATCCATACCATGGAATACTACTCAGCAATAAATAGGAACAAACTGTTGATATATACAACTTGATGACTCTCAAGGGAATCATCCTGAGTGGGAAAGGTCAATCCCAAAGGTTCTATACTATATGGTTCCATTTATGTAACATTCCTGAAGTGACAAAATTAGAGATGGAGACAGATTAGTGACTGATTGCTGAGGGTTAGGGATCGTGGGGAGAGGCAAAGAGGTGTGGCTATAAAGGGCGACACAAGGGATCCTTGTCGTGGTGGAACTGTTCAGTATCCTGACCACGGTGGTGGATCCAGGAACCTACACATGATAAAACTGCACAGAACTACAGCCAACCCTTGAACCACATGGGTCTGAACTGCATGAGTCCACTTACGCAGGGATTTTTTTTCAATGAACACTCACTACAGTACGACGTGATCTGTGACTGGCTGAATCTGCAGATTCGGAACCGCAGATACGGAGGGACAACTATGAAGTTATACACAGATTTCTGACTGCATGGGGGGGGCGCGGGGGAGCAGGGAGGAAGTGGTCAGTGCACCTGAGCCCTGCACTGTTCAAGGGTCAACTGCACACACAAATGAGAATACGTAAAAATGACAAAATCTGGACTTCCCTGGTGGCGCAGTTGTTGAGAATCCACCTGCCAATGCAGGAGACATGGGTTCGAGCCCTGGTCCGGGAAGATCTCACGTGCCGCGGAGCAACTAGGCCCGTGCACCACAACTGCTAAGTCTGCACTCTAGAGCCTGCAAGCCACAACTACTGAAACCTGCGTGCCTAGAGCCCATGCTCCGCAACAAGAGAGGGCACCGCAATGAGAAGTCCACACACTGCAATGAGGAGTGGCCCCCGCTCGCCGCAACTGGAGAAAGCCCGTGCACAGCGACAAAGACCCAATGCAGCCAAAAAAAAAAAAAAAAAACAGACGAAATCTAAGTAAGATGAGGAGATGGTGTCAATTTTGCAAAATGTTGAGGGTAACTGGGTAAAGGGTATGTGGGATTCCTTTGTATTATTTTTTACAACTGCATGTGAATCTACAATTATCAAATTTAATTTTAAAAAATAAATAAACCTTAGATACTATCCTTAGTGCCTTCTGGCAACACTTACCAAAAGAAGTAGCCTGTAACCACTTTTACCTCAAAAATTCCAGAAGGAGAAGGTTTGCTCTTAGCAATCAATTACAAATGATTAATGATATAATTTAAAACTTAAATTATATTAAATTATAATTAACTAATTAATGATATAACTTAAAACTCCCAGATTCTAATACTAGGTTCTCTAATCTTAGGAAAATTCCTTCCCAAGTCCTAATTTGTCATCCTTTAAATGGAAGTAACTATATCTATTCTTTTTTCCCACCAGACAGTAAAGAAAAACGAAAATGTACTCATGAACACAGATGTCGTCTCATTTCCTCTCATGGCCCTTGTGAAGAAATGGAACGGAGTAAGAAGTGACATTCACTGAGTGGCTACTATATTCCAAGAACTGGGCTAGGTGCCACCACATCATTTCACCCTCACAGTCTTGGGGTCGTTTTACATCTCCATTTTACAGGTAAGGATACTGAGACTCAGAGAAATTAAATAATGCTACCCAACACATTCAGATAAAAAGTAGCAGAGCCATGACCAAAATCTTGTCCCATCTGACTCTCAGGCCCACTAGCATCTCTTTCACCAAGGTACAATGAAGGAAACAGTCTTCTCAATATCTACTCATTTTCGGCCAAAGAACCACCCAGAACCATGACTCTCAGCTCACTAAAAAGCTTCAATGCCTCGCTAGAGGTTTCCAGAATCACCTTGTCAGTGTCAAGTGCCATTTAACAGCAAAACCATCGACACTCTCCTTGGCAAACAGGTGTTACCCAGTTAAACCCTAAGATATGATTTCTCAAGGTTAAAGTGCTAGAGACAGTTACCTGCATCAGTACCTCCATGACTGGATTTTGGTACGGGCGGTGGAGTGACATGATTGCTGATGGCAACTGAGGAGGACGGTGGGGGAATTGTGACTCTGCCTCCAGGCGGGGGTGGGAGTAAGCTTAGGCCCCCAGCCGCTGTAGTCTTGGGCCTAGAAGCACCTCCTTTCTTGGTTGTGATGTTCTACAAAAGAAAAAAAAGTAGCAGAGTGAGAGAAAGAAAAAGAATAAGTCACAGGCTTATGGAAATACAAGGAGGGGTGGGGGGAACCATACTCACCCCAATACTCAACTTGATGGTCTGCCCCTCCTTGAAGCCCAGATCCAACTTGGGACGATTATCCATTTCCTGAGATTCTTTGGAAATCTCAGATTCCTGCTTTACCCACCTTCAGTAAAAGAGTAAGTTATTTTAATTGGGATTCCCTGAAAGCGGAGTCTGACACACAAATTTGAGTGTAGCTAATTTATGTGAAACATGATTCCAGAAAGTAGAGTAAGGGAACATGAGATGTGAGAAAGGAAAGGAAGAAAAGCCAAGAGAGGGCAACTGGGGTTCAATACCGCTGAGGAACCATTCAAAATGCATATTAAACTTGTCCCTCCAAAAGAGGGCACTCAGCCACCAATTCCCATCCCCCACGGTTGAGGGCGGCCCCTGAGGGCGTGTTAATTCCTCAGTCCTTCCAGGTTGCCCCCCTTGCTAACTGGGTGGCCTTCCACAATTGCAGGAAGTCCTAAGGCAGAAAAGCCTGCCCTTGAGGTAGGAAGCCGACAGTGTGCACGGTGCTGTCTACCACAGCTGAGCCAAAATCGAATGGGCTGAAGAAATACTGCAACAGGCACAAAACATGTCAGCTACGTGGAGTAACAACACTGGCACATAACTCCCCACACAGCTCACAGACAGCCCTGCTGCTACTGTTATGCCTCCCTCGGCCACCTAAAAGCAAGGGCAAATTCCCCAGAGGCATAAACAAAAGCCCCATCTCAAACCACTGTACAAGGGATTAAAAACATATTCTAGCTGTAAGGAAAGGATAGAATAGATACAAATATAATGTAAGAAAACAGAGTGAATGGGAAGATTTATATTCACGTGAACTAGTTTACCAAGAAAAGAAACCAGGAGGTAAAAGAGATAGTGCCCACTCAACTGAGGAGCAGTATTCCCCAAACATTTAACCTGGTAAATAAAGACAAGCTTCACTCACTTGAAGTGATCTTGCAAAGAGACATTAAAGTCAAAGGCATCACCCCGATCTGAGAAGCCAATGCCAATGAAAGCACTACGCCCTGTGAAAAAGACAGGAATCTTCAGAACAGGAAGTATCCCTTAGCGCAAACTCTATCCAATGAAAATATCAATGTCATATTTACCCTAACTAGATAACATCTGTGAATGTGAAATATTTTCTCCTGGACCAGGGATCGGCAAACTGCATGCAGCCCATGGGCCAAATGCTGCCAGAGCTTGTTCCTGTAAATAAAGTTTCACTGGAACAAAGGCACACCAGTTTGTTTACACACCACCCATGGCAGCGTTCACATTACATCAACAGAACTGAGTAGTTGCAAGAGATCATTTGGCCCACAAAACCTAAAATATTTATTATCTGTGTATTTACAGAAAAAATTTGCCAGCCTCTGATTGGAGAAAAGATGATTGCCATAAACATAGATGATGTAAGACAGTCCCACAAAAAACCACCACAACAATGAACAGGCAATATGTGTCAATTCTTTGGTTAGATAAACATTTTGATTTATTTACGTCTACTTTTAATAACCACATCTTGAAACTTGTGCTCATATCTATTACAAACGTGTTAATCCTTCTCCTTTAGCAACTAGAGTTAACTCTGGACAAAGGGGAGGAAAAATGTAGTAAACTGAAGTAAGATAAATGCACTGGGGCACACTTCTGTTGAAGTGCATTAACTATTTTCCTAATCTCAACCCATTCAAAATCCCTGATCCCTTACCAGTACCATCCTGGATCCGGATGACAAAGTAGCGGCTGGAATCTGTCACTGTCTCCACAGCAATACCAGGATATTGTTCTACTGGTGCTTGAGCAAAGAGCTCCCCTGACAGGTAAGGAAAAGACTTCTTTGAGCAAAGGAAGCAAAATTTAAAACTCAATTAACAAGTATTTCCACGCCAGTCCCCAATTTGAAGGTATTTATAAAAGAACACCAAACCAATATCCTTAATATGTTAGAAAGTCACCAGCACAGATTACCTGAAACTTTATCCTCAAGTTTGATATAAGCAATCTTCCCTTTTGAAGTGATTCGGAGACGACCAGTCCAATCAGGTTGATCTAATTTCCAGTCAGATGCCCTAGGATAGGAAAATGGAGAAGCCTCAGGCCTCGGGTCCACGTCTTTAATACACTAAAAACCTACACAGAATCATTTGCCATATTTCTATTTCCCTCTTCTGAATTGCTTACCCTTTCTACGTATTAAATAATCAAAAGACTAACTCATGATTCTCTCTATACAGATGCCTCATGTTACACACAGTCCAAAGCAAATAGAAGAAATGTTACTACTTAAGTCCAAAAAGCATCAATAAAAGTATAAAGTACAAAAAAAAAGCAATTTAAAAATTTATCACAATGACACTATTTTATATAGTACCGTAGATGGTATTTTATATAATAGTGTTTTGCTGATCAGGGAACAACAAGGTCTACTAAGTGAAATATATTAGGTACAGAAGCCTCCCAAATCCCTAAACATATTACCTTTCACTGAATTCAACCAATATTTACAGAGTGTATATTAAGTTGCAGGTACTGTTCTAGGTACTTGGGATACAAGAGGGAACCAAATTTAAAGCCATCATGAAGCTTTCATTCTAACAGAAGATAGATAATAAAAAAGAAGCAATAAATAAGTAAAATAATTAACATCTCAGAAGGTGATAACTGCTACGGTAAAAAGAAAATGCAGGGCTTCCCTTGTGGCGCAGTGGTTGAGAGTTCGCCTGCCGATGCAGGGGACACGGGTTCATGCCCCGGTCCGGGAGGATCCCACATGACGCGGAGCGGCTGGGCCCGTGAGCCATGGCCACTGAGCCTGTGCGTCCGGAGCCTGTGCTCCACAACGGGAGAGGCCACAACAGTGAGAGGCCTGCGTACCACAGAAAAAAAAAAAAGAAAAGAAAATGCAGAGGCAGAAAAGGGAGATTGGGAGGGTCGTGGGAGAATGAACAGGTTGCAGCATTCAAAAGGGTGGTCAAGGTTAATAAGGCAGGCCTTATTAACAAGGTGAAATGCGAGCAAAGATGTGAAGGAAGGGACTTCCCTGGTGGCGCAGTGGTTGAGAGTCCGCCTGTCAATGCAGGGGACACGGGTTTGTGCCCCGGTCCGGGAAGATCCCACATGCCGCGGAGCGGCTGGACCCGGAGCCTGTGGTCCACAACGGGAGAGGCCACAGCAGTGAGAGGCCCGCATACCGCAAAAAAAAAAAAAAAAGAAGAGGTGTGACATGATCCATGATCTCCCTTTTAATTTAAAAGGACTACTTTGCCATCATAGCAGAGACGCAGCAATATGAACACCGAAGCAGGGGGATTAGTTAAGAGACTACTGTGCTAATCTAGGAGAGTCACAATGGTGACTAGGAAGAGAAAGGAGCAGAAGTGGCTAGACTGTGGATATACTTAAAGTAAGGCAGCAGGATTTTCTAATGGAATGGATTTGAGGTAGAAGAGGAAGACAGACATCAAAGATAAAATCAAGGATGCCTCCAAGGTTTTTAGCCTGAACAGAGGAATTGCCAATAATTGAGATGAGGAAGGCTACAAGTAGAGCAAGTCTGGGAAGAAAGATCAGGAGTTCAGTTTTGGCTATGCTGAGTCTGAGATGTCTTAGAGATTTTCAAGAGGAGATACAGAGTATGCGTTTGAATATATGAATCTGGACTTCAGGAAGGACATGTGGATTAGAGATACAATGTCCATGGAAACAGTACAAACACTGAATCCTTATGATCTGTGTTATAAATGAATCTGAATGAAATCTAAGATATTATTTAAACATGAAACAATTTTACAAAACATTGTATTTGTGAGTTTGTTTTGCCAGCAGTGTGGAAAAGGGAGGGCAAATAAAAGTTATTAATAACTCATCCCTAAAAAACAATAAAATAAAATAACTCATCCCTTGGGAACCTAAAGACTAATACTTGCAGGTTAGGAAGGTAACAATAAAGTATATCTGAATTAAAGTAATTTTCACAAGATGGTAAGCAAATGGTGGAAAGGAAGAAATGACAAGTTCTGAATAGGATTTACAAGATAAAATCTTTGTCGCGCCATTCTCTCTTGATGTCCCGCCTCAAAGACGCTCAAGTACCTGAATCTGATCCAGACTAGAGCAAGCTCTAGAGGTCCTTGTCTATGAAATTTTTTTAATGAGTCATTACTTATTCCACTATACCGCCATGAGCTAGACATAGTGTAAATGGACTACTGAAAATATTAGGAACAAGCCTACGAGACACGCTTCTTTGGACAGGTTCCTAGGCTTATTTGTGTGTCTGGTGGCCAATATTTAACAAATCCTCAGTAAATGAATGGATACTCATGGCAGCAGTATCCCTCAGCCCTGAGCCTTACCTCCTCTCCCACTCCCCTGACCTGGCCTGAGGAACTCTTGGTTTTACTGATCTTCTAAACCAACCTCACAAATTTTCATCTACCTTGGCAATAAATCTTATAGCAGCCATATGGAATAGGCAGGAAAAGTCTACCACCTCTCTCTAAATGAAGAAATAGAAAATAACACACTAATAACAATCCCTAACTTCAAAGTCCAGCATTCTTTTCATTACATTAAACCACACTATAGGGTTTAATACTGATTTAGCTGAGGAGGAGGGTAATGATGAATTTAAAAAAGTTTTATAGCTTGGGAAACCATTTTCTAATCATTTATAAGTTTTGCATCAACCTAAATTCCGTAAGTCTGGTCAGTGCAAGTCTGGGAAGTAACAGCTTATGCTAGGTGAATCAAAGTCAATCATTCCCTCTCATCTTACTAGTCACTCAAAGAAAGCATTTCTCCTGCTTCCTACAAAGTCCAGTTTTTCCTTTAATGGCAGCCTGGAGAACAAATCATGCTTATAATGTAAAATGGACACAGACAAAAAGGGAGAAAAGTAATATTTATCAAGCACCTGTTCCAGGTATTATGCTCATTCTTGTGAAAATTGCAAGGATCTCACAAAGTAAGTAATATTATATCCATTTCTATAGATGAGGAAACTAAAGTTCAAAAGAGTTAAGTGACTTGCCAAAGGTAACACAGCAAATAAATGACTCACAATTCAAACTCAGTTCTGCTCTCTTCACTGACTAAGAGTGGTTGATGTAAAAAGCCTCTTGTAGGATAAGATGTCAATAATAAGCACGGAAAGCACAGAATGACAACAAGAAAAAGGGTAAAAGAGGAAAATTAAGAAATTGCTTTGATGGCTCAATGCAGTTAATTGACATAAGGATAAAGGATAAACCAAAAGCGAAGACAGAGAAAGCAGACGGGTGAGAGAAGCTTCAAGCTTTTAAAAAGCTTGCAGTAGAAGAAAAAGAACAGAACCTCACTTCAACGTGTATCATATCCTTTAGGAAGTCTCAACGCGTAAAGTTGGAGGTCATGAGCTATTTTACCTTATTTCACAGTTCAATCAATGCTAATTTAAGTGTAATCTAATTTCTTTCAGTCAACATTTACAGAGCCTCCACTATGTACCAGAAACTGTGCTAGACCCTAGGAATATAAAGTTTAAAAAGACCTCAAGTTGTTCACAGTCTCGTCTGGAGAACTGGGAGACCAAACAATCAATGAGAATGCAGAAGGAAGAGCTCTGTGATAGAGACAAGCTCAGGTGCCATGGAAGCACCAAGAGCACACCTAAGCCAGAATGGAGGGTCAAGGAGGGCTCACCAAAGAAGGAGAGTTCTCAACTGACGCACACATATTAGCACCTGTGACTACCATCAAAAAGCATGTAGAGTCTTATTCATGGTCAATTTGGGGTCTGATTGAAAGCTTGAAATTACCGAAAGGTACAACCCACAGGGTCTATTGCACAGGTCAGCAAGCAGAAAGATACTGATTCATGATGAATGAACCTCTGATAAGGAGGCAAAACACTGGACACAGGGAGAGGATAACTTTTCAGCCAAGGTAATAAGAAATGCCAAGAGGAAAATCATGATGGTGATGTGAGTCAGAGAGAGAAATCAAAACAGTATCTCATGTTTATATACTGCTTTACTGTTTTCCTAAATTCTTTTTAGGAAATTTATCTTAAATTCTTTTTCACATTTATTATATGATTTCATTTAACCCTCTTAACCCTCTAAAAACTTCTACAAGGTACGTAGCTAGAGCAGGTTTTATTACCACGTTGTTTTTTTTTTTTCTGTTTTACAGATGAGAAAACTGAGGCTTGGAGAGGCTAAGAGATTTTTCTCAAATCATACAGCTATAAAATTGCGAGGGCTCACACTCATTATTTTTTAACATGCAACCCAGTGAGTTACATGTGAACTCTTTGGACTACATGACTTGGTGACTTCCTACAGCATACTCAGACCCTCCCAGTCATTAGATTACAAGGTGGTTAGTCAGCCTCCAGTGAAAATGCTGCGTTAACTCTGGAAGTAAAAGCTATAGGCGAAGTGGAGAGAAGGGGGTAGGGAAGAAAGATTGAAAATACTATCGTAGCACCAAGAAAACACTGAAAAGAGACAGAGTGGACAACCATTGGAAAACTTACGATCATAACCTTTGCCCACTGGCAAAAGACCGGAAAGGAAAAACCATATGGTGGATGATAAGATTTGGTGACAAGACGGAACAGCACAAAAAATAAATTAGCTCATCCAGAGAGGGGCCAACGACACAATGATTACCTACAAACACGCACGAGGTACTGGAAATGGGGGGCGGGGACAGACAGCGAGGGGAAGATGAGGGTGACAAGCTAAAGGACGCAGGGAAGAGCGAAGGAAAGGTGACTGGCGATGGAGCAGACACGACTGGAAACGGATGGAGAGCAGAGAGGTAACCCAGAGGGATCCGGGGGAGGAGGGGTGGAAGGATGCAGGATGGTCATTTTTTTAAGCGGCGGAAACAAGGATGACAGCAGTCCAGAGTGGGGGAAGAGCAGGAGGACAGAGTGACAACAACCCAGGTGGGGAGCCTAGCAAGGTGACAACCCAGAGGTGGCAGTGGCAGGGACGGGCAGCGTGCTACTGAGGAGCAAAGTGTCAGCCCCAACCGGGTACGCGCGTGCCGCAGTACCTCGGGGTTAGTACCTGTAACCGCGGTTGGAGGCCCGGGGCGGAATCCGGTAGACGCTGACGTCGGGCTTCACACACAGAACAGACTCGTACTCCAACTCCGCCGCCATCTTGGCTCTGCTCACCGCCCAGCTGGGGGCGCGGCGTGAGCACGGGGGCGGAACGTGGAGGCGGGGAATCGCGTTACGCAACAACTTCCGTTTACGCTACTTCCGCGAGAGTTCCACTGGGTTCCTGAGATTAACCTCCGGTGCCGCGGGTCCGGGAAGCCATGTTGAAACCTGGAAACGGTGAGTTTGCGCGACTCACCATCTTGGGTAAGGGCAAGGGTGGCCTCCAAGTGAGTGATTCTCGTTAAGGAGCTCTCCATCCCCGAGAAGCGAGGAGGGAAAGCGCCATCTTGCTCCGGGCAAGGGCCCGCAGGGCTTTGGGAGGGTGCCGGTCTTCGAGAATTCGGACGAGTTTCTTTCTTCCAAGAGTCACTTTAAGACGTGTCTTAGAAACCGTAGGTTCCAAGCAGAAAAGGGGAATCCGCCCGTCCGTATTCCCAAATTGGGTACCTACAAAAACTGTATGACCCAGGCGTAGACCGGCGTGGTGGATTTTAACCTTCCAGAGTCCAAACTTCAAAAATGGCCACCCAGCCTGATCCATTGCTTTATAACACCTTTTTATCTCAGTTTCGAGAACGGCACCTGTTGAAATAGTCTGCCACACTTTCAGTGTGCATTCTGGTTATCTTTTTGGAAATTGTGCCCGTGTTAAACTGTAAATGGGATCAACTCATTCCTGACCCATTGGGAAAGCACCATGAACTATTTAATAGCCAATATTTGCTCCCAGTCTTATTATAATGATAGATTCTACTGTCTCCGTAAACACATGCCTCGTATACTCCAAAGGTAAACTTGCCACCATTCCATCACTTAATTGATTTAAGTAGCACAGACAGCAAATGGAAAACCGAGATACCAACTCAAGGCTGTCTGACTACAACAGCGGTGATCTTCACCACTTCATTATGTTGACTGGTTGGAAACCTGTCTCTAATTTGTCTACCCTGTGTAGCAAAGTGATATCTTAAAATTCAAAGAGAATCATAATATCTAGCCCTTATGAGGAGGTGGGGAATCAGCTACTCTCGTACACTGTGAGCAGGAAGGTAATTTCGTACAGCATTTCTGAAGGTAAATTTAGAATTGATCAGTATATTGTAGGTAACCTTCAATGTAGCAAATCCACAAATAGCTATTTTAGAGAAGTTTTTAATGTGTGCAAAAAGGTATGTACAATAATGTTTATTACAGCATTGTTTGTAATAGTGAAAAATGGAAACAGCATGAATGTCTATCAACAGAAAATGGGTAATGGCATACATTACTATAGGATGTTTTGAGGTGTGTGTGTGTATAATATATATAGTAAATAAATAAGTATAGGTATATAGATATTAAGGCCATAAAAGAGATCCAAGATTTTTTTTTAAAGCAGACATTCACTTAAAATTTCAGCAATCCTCAACTACTTAAGGTTTCCTGAGTTGTCCATGTTCTTCATATTCTTCATATCTTTGCATGCATTAAACCTTCTGTCTTAAACACTCTCCCCTAGCTTCTTAATTTGGCAAACTAATATGGTCACATATCAGCTCAAATTGTACCTCCTCCTGTGACTTTGCCAGGTCCTTTAGATGAACTTTCTCTGATGCTTCCACTTGCTTCTGTTATACCTTTTCATTGTATCTAACGTGTTATTATTCTTCAAATATCTCCCACTAAACCATCAGCTCTATAAAGGCAAGAACTTTGCTTTTTCAGCACCCAGCACATTGCCCTTCACATAGTAGGCAGTAATAATTGTTGAATAATAAAAGATTTCTGCTTAAGTCCAATCATTTAACTTATTAACTTGGCCATTTCCCCAAATCCCCCAATGTAAGGACCTTACATGTACTTTACAAAAAATTCAGAGAATATGAAATTATTAAATGAAACATGAACTTCCACATCTCTATATTATTAACAGCTTTATGCCAACAAATTTAATAACTTAAATGGTAATGGATGTACACAATTTACCAAAAATAATTCACGAAGAGATAGAAAATTTGAATAGCCCTGTACCTGTTAAAGAATTTGAATTTATAACTAAAAACCTTCCCACAAAAAAACAAACCTCCATGGCCCAAATGTTTCATCATTGATCAAACATTTTAGGAAGAAATAATGTAAATCCCATACAAATGCTCTAAAAACAAAGAAGAGATAAGACACTTTCCAACTTTTTTTTTTTTTTTTTTTTTTTTTTGCGGTACGCGGGCCTCTCACTATTGTGGCCTCTCCCGTTGCAGTGCACAGGCTTCGAACGCGCAGGCTCAGCGGCCGTGGCTCAATGGCCCAGCCACTCCGCGGCATGTGGGATCTTCCCGGACCGGGGCACGAACCGGTATCCCCTGCATCGGCAGGCGGACTCTCAACCACTGTGCCACCAGGGAAGCCCCTCCAACTAATTTTTATAAGACAATATTACCTTGATACCAAAACCAGAAAAAGATGTTACAAGAAATAAATATATATATGAAACTACAATGAGATAACACAACACACTTAATATAATGGCTTAAAAGAAAACTTGACGACAGCAAAAAGTGCTGGCAAGAATATGGAGCAAAAATACAGAGCAACTTTCATACATTGGTAGTGGGGAGTTAAAATGGCACAACCATTTTGGAAAACATAGTTTTGTATTTTCTTAAAAGTTAAATATATCATTTAACACATGACCCAGCATTTTACTCTGAAATATTTACCCAAGAGAAACTAAAACATATGTTCACAAAAAGACATATATGCAAATATTCAGAGCAGTTTTTTTTACAGTGGTCAAAAACTAGAAACAACACTAAATGTCTATCAGCAGGTGAATGGGTAAACAAATTGTGGTGCATCCCTGTAATACTGTCATATTGACATATAATAGTAATAAAATAAATAGAATAGCAATAAAGAGGATCAAATACTAACACTCAGGGGTAGCAATTTTAAAAATTGAACTACTGACACCCACAATCACATGGATAGATCTCAAACACATTATACCCAACAACAACAACAACAAAAAGCTAGGCCCAAAAGAGTACATACTGTATGACTCCATTTATATGAAATTCTTAAAAAGACTGATCTACAGGGCTTCTCTGGTGGTGCAGTAGTCAAGAATTCACTGCAGCATTGTTTATCATTTATAACAGTGAGACATTGGAAATACATGTCCATCATTAGGAAAAATCAGTTGTGCTGTATTCATTCAACAGGATGGTGTAAATAGTGAACATGAATGAACTACTTGCTATGGACAACATGGATAGATCACAAAAACTTAATTTTAGGAGAAGAAAAAAGTAAGTTTAACAAAAGATAAAACAAAATTGTCCATTTGGACAATGTTTAAAAACAGACAAATCTAAAACTGTATTGTTTGGGGGTAGCCAGTTAAATGGCAAAGCCATATTTAAAATGTAAGGAAATGATAAATACAAAATTCCCAGTTGTGGATTCTTGGGAGGTGGGGTTCAGGAAGGTGATTAGGGCGGGCACAGGAGGTGCTCCAGAGATACGGGTAGCATTCTACTTCTAAAACTGGATGGTAAGCTCATGGTAGTCATTTTATTATTATTTAAAATGTACATATTTATTATAGACACTCTTTCAAATGGATTATATACCTCACAATAAAATTTAACAGGTGCTGTGTGAATCAACTAAGTTTTTAGTTATTGATTTCAACAATAAACATTTTGTATAACAATAATTATAATAATATTACCTGATATTTACATAGCAGCTTTAAGATTACAAAGTGTTTTCATATACACTATCTCATTCATTTTTCACAACAGTCTTGCCCATAGGTAGCATTATCCCCATTTTCATTAAAAAAAATTGCTGAGATACAGAAAGTTCATTGACTTGCTCATCCAATATTTAAGTGTCAGGAGAGAAATCCTTACATTTCTGATACAAACATAACAGCTGCTTATACCTTATTTTTAAATGTTTGCATGAATAATTAGTATTCCTGTGCCTATTGGTTGAATTATAGTAAAGAGTAGCATTTATTAAGTACTGAGTACTGTTCTGCATGCTTGTGTGCATTATATTATTAATCCTAACAACAGATATGTACTATTGTTATCCTGCTGTGAAATTAAGTAATTATTGTCCACAGTCACAAGTGACAGACATAGATATGTGTCTCCAGGCCCGGGTCCTTAACCAATATGCAATTCTGCCCTAACAGCTCTATCCAGTGAATGGACAGAATATACAACTTTTGAGCTTCCCTGGTGGCGCAGTGATTGAGAGTCTGCCTGCCGATGCAGGGGACACGGGTTCGTGCCCCGGTCCGGGAGGATCCCACATGCCGCGGAGCGGCTAGGCCCGTGAGCCATGGCCGCTGAGCCTGCGCATCCGGAGCCCGTGCTCCGCAACGGGAGAGGCCACAACAGTGAGAGACCCGCGTACCAAAAAAAAAAAAAAGAATATACAACTTTTAGCAAGTACAGTAGATCCTCCTCATTCATGGACTCCAATATCTGTGAGTTTGCCTATTTGCTTAAATTTATTTGTAACCCCCAAATCAACATTCACAGTCACTCCCTAACATGCACAGGGTGGCAAAAAAATTTGAGTCACCTAGACAAGTACATCATCAGCTGGGGTCAATCCAGGTGGCGCTCTGCCTTCTTGTTTCATCTCTCTTATTGTAAACAAGGATCCTTTACACAACCTATCTAGTGCCAAGTTTTTCGCATTTTCGTACTTTTTGTTGGTGATTTTGCTGTTCAAAATGACCAATAAGCGTAGCGCTGGAGTGCTATATAGTGTCCATAAGCACAAGAAGGCTGAGCTATATATGTGTTAGTTCATCTTGTTTGGGCATGAATTATAGGGCTGTTGGCAGAGAGGTCAATGTTAATGAATCAACAATATGAAATAAGGTTTCCCAGGACGACCTTCAAGATGGCGGAGGAGTAAGACGCGGAGATCACCTTCCTCCCCACAAATACATCAGAAATGCATCTACATGTGGAACAGCTCCTATAGAACACCCACTGAACGCTGGCAGAAGACCTCAGACCTCCTAAAAGGCAAGAAACTCCCCATGTACCTGGGTAGGCAAAAGAAAAAACAGAGAAAAAGAATAGGGATGGGACCTGGACCTCTGGGAGGGAGCTGTGAAAGAGGAAAAGTTTCCACACACTAGGAAGCCCCTCAACTGGCAGAGACGGTGGGGCGGGGGTGGGGGGGGGCAAGCTTCAGAGCCACGGAGGAGATCGCAGCAACAGGGGTGCAGAGGGCAAAAAAATTTGATCATTTGACCAAAATGCAGTGACCAGAGGCTGGCAGAACTCAACCCCATACATCCCCTAGCGTGGTCCAGTGTCTGCTAATCCAGTGTTCCTGGTGACATTGTAGAACATAACTTCCACGAACATGGAGACAGTAGACCGGATTAACATTCACAGGGCAGCATGGTGGCTAAGAGCATAGGCTCTGGAGGCCAGCTGTCTGGTTCTAAGTCTGCCATTTACATAGTGGTGTGAATTTGGATAACTCATTAGCCTCTTTGCATCTCAGTGTCCTTTTTGAAAATGAGGTACTAATATTAGTACCTATCTCATCATTGGGGTGTCGTTAGAGTTAAATAACATGCAGCCGATGAAGCACTCAGCACAGTGTCTGGTAGATGTCCTCAACGTGTAAGTTATCACTATTATTAATATTAATTTATATTTGAAACAAGAATGATCATGTTTGTTTAGGTAATTATAAACATAGACACATGCAGTTTTAGAATTTCAGAAGCTGCACAACAAAGAACATAATAACTAAAATGGAGTTACCATTCTAACACCATTTTTCCCTAAATGACTGACAAATATGGCCAGTGTAGAGAAAAACATTTCACCTGAAATGAGTATGCGTGCTTCTGTGATTTATAATAGGAAATATATATATCTTGATCTGTGCCCCTGGCTCCTAAAGCCCTTGTAAATTCCTAGGTGACAAGAGCATTAGGAGCATCTTTTGTTCTAGTATTTGGTCACTGACCCCAGTTTGTGACACAAGGGAAACCCTTGTAATTTCCTGGTGATAGGAGTGTCTTTTGATCCAATGAGGTGACTGGGTGGGCTCTTGGATGGCTCCTGGATAAGGGCTCGGGAGAGACCAAGCCGTGATTAGAAGCTTAGAATTTTCAGTCCCACCCCCCATGCTCTTGAGAAGGGAGAAGGACTGGAAATGAAGTTAATAATTGAACTTGCCTGTGTGATGAAGCCTCCAAAAAAATCGCAATAACATGGGGTTGAGAGAACTTCCAGTTTGGTGAACACATCCATGTACAGAAAGGGTGACACACCCCAACCCTACTGGAGACAGAAGCTCCTGCACTCAGGACCCTCCCAGATCTCGCCTTATGTAGCTCTTCATCCGGCTGTTCATCTGGGTCCTTTATCATATCCTTTAATAAACTGGTAAACCTAAATAAATGTTTCCCTGAGTCTGTGAGCCACTGTAGCAAATAATCAAATCCAAGGGGAAGAAAGTCATGGGAACCTCTGATTTGTAGCCAAGACAGAGAGAAGTTGTGGGTGACCTGGGGATCTACAACTTGCAATTGGCATCTGAAGTGGGGAGCAGTCTTGTGGAACTCAGCCCTTAACCTGTGGGATGTGACGCTATCTCCAGGTAGATAGTGTCAGAATTGAGTTAAATTGTAGGACACCCAGCTGATGTTGCAGAATTGTTTGATGTAGGGGGAAAAAACACACACATTTGGTGACCACAAGTGTCAGAAGTGAAGTATTCTGTGTGAAAGTAAAGGAGACACATGGGAGGTGGAGACCTGTGGTTTTCCCTGCACAGAAGGAAAAACTGGGTGGTTTTCAACCCAACATCATTTTGTATCACCACTTTCTTTGCCCACATTCTAGTGGAAATGAAATGGGGAAGAAAAGGCAAAGGATAAATGAAATGGAGAAGACATTTTCTAAATAATGCACAAATAGGATAGCTAACCTAAAAAATCCATCAAAATTTACTCAAAAATTTATCTACACTTAAAACATTTATGACAGCCATCTACCCCTCGATAATCTTGAATTCTGTCCCCCCTACAAAATTTTCTTATGCCTTCTTATTAGATCAGATAAACACAAACTGAAACCTAGTCCCTGGTCCATTTTGGGTTTCATGGAACTAAAGTCACAAAGGGTGTTCATGAAACACTCAGTTTACTTCCCCTTCAATCTCCCTTCCTTGGCTGACTGCCGTGGATACCTATTATACTAGAAAATCAATCATCAATAAATCAATAGAAGAAACAAAGTTTGCTAAATTTCCTTTAAACCACTCAGATTTGAATGATTCATCGTGCCAAATTTGGCTGGATTCTTTCAAGATCCAGGCATCAGTTCATCAGATATTTGTTATTATGGTTGGATTAACAGTTTTTTGTTTGTTTTATTTTATTTACCTTTCGACTGAATTACTTTAATTTCTGGGTGACTTTGTCCTTCAGTTTGTGCTCTTTGTGTTATTATAACTATGTGCGTAATTAGGCAGCTATACTATAGGGAGTAGAGAGTATGTCAGGTCTACATCCTTGAGGGCCATGGGTTAGAATTTGATTCGACAGAAAGGATGTAACTTAACAATGTAAAGGGAACATTCTGTAAATTATTTTCTAAGAGTCCAAGATGGGAGAATAGTTTTGATATGATAGGCAACTGGAAGCCACATTAGTTTTTTGACCTAATAACTGCTAACATTTATTGAACGGTTATGTGCCAGCAGTGTCTTAAGTGCTTTGCATGTATTAATTTATTTACTCCTAGCAGTCCTATAGAGTAGGTACAGTGAATATTCCCCGACTGTCATTGCCCAGCCAGGAAAACAGAAACCATTGTAGGTATTTCAAACAAGGTATTTAATACAAGGACTTGGTTGCAAAAGTGTTGGAAGGACTAGAGGAATAAAGGGGGAGAAGATAATATAACTTCAGGAAGGTACTTCCCTAAAATTGGAAGAGAAATACTCACAGGGCTGTAGCTGCTGCTGAAACCAGTAATCCTGCCAGAGCCCACAGTTGCCCGCAGCTGCCAAGGTCACACCTGCCATCTGTGTTACAGAAACCCACCAGAGTTGTCTGCTGCTGAAGGAGCCAGAAAATAAATGATCCCCCTTTCAATCTCTTTCTTTTATATTTTAATATTTTTAATGTTTATTCTATTTTATGATTTTGTTCTTTTATTTTTAAAACATATTTGCAAACTCTGCACAAACTAAACATCCATCAACGGAGGAATGGATAAAGAAGATGTGGTACATATATACAATGGAGTGTTACTCAGCCATAAAAAAGAATGACATGAGGCCATTTGAAGAGACATGGATGGACCTCGAGATTGTCATACTGAGTGAAGTAAGTCAAACAGAGAAAGACAAATATCATATGATATCACTTATATGTGGAATCTAAAAAAATGGTACAAGTGAACCTATTTACAAAACAGAAATAGAGTCACAGATGTAGAAAACAAACTTACGGTTACCAGGGGAAAGGGTGGGGAGGGATAAATTGGGGGATTGGGGTGGACATACGTACACTGCTATATATAAAATAGATAACTAATAAGGACCTACTGTATAGCACAATGAACTCTACTCAATACTCTGTAATGGCCTCTATGGGAAAAGAATCTAAAAAAGAGTGAACACATGTATATGTAGAACTGATTCACTTTGCTGTACAGCAGAAATGAACACAATATTGTAAATCAACCATACTCCAATAAAAATTAATCTCAAGAAAAAGAATCAAATGCAATGATTCCCTTTTCTCTTCACTTTCCAAGAGCACATGAACATGCCCCTCTGGCAGAGCCAGGGCAGACCCTGCCTGAGAGGCAGTCTCGGAAATGCAGTACCCAGGCTTCACTTAGAGAAATAATAAGGAAGAATGGGAATGGGCCTGAGTATCAATAAATAAAACCTGACACAATCCCTGTTTTGCAGGTGAGGAAATGAAAACAGAGTCTGAAAAATTCCTGTGCAGCCACACAATTAGTGGGAGCTGGGATTCAAGCTCAGGCTCTACGCATCTTCTGTTGCTCCCTGTGTGCTTTTTACTCCAGCCAGACCACTTTACCTGTGTCATTCACTCACGCTGGGCTTCCCTCCACCTTAATGTGTGTTTCCCCCTACTTGAAATGGGAGAATTATAGATTGTTAGATGTAAAAGAAACCTTAAAGATCACGCGAGCCAACCCTTTAATTTTACATCTAAGAAAAAAATTCTAGGTCAAGCATCCAGCCCAAGGTCAAGTATTTAGTTATGATTAAAACTAGAACTCAGATTCCTAATCTAGAGCAGTTTTCACAAGAATGTTCTTCCATGAAAATTTTCCAGCTAATTCTAACCTCCACCAGGTTTCATCACATTTGTCCTTTGCTAACTAGCCATAGCATTTGTCTATGTCATCCGTAGTTTTTGGCATTTGGTTATTTTTTCACTTAGAGTATAATTATACTTGGTCTAATAATGAATCTAATCATTTTTCGTCAAAGTCCTTAAGGACAGAAACTTTGTCATATGTTTATTTTTAATTCTCTCAGACAGAGCAGGCTAGAGATTATACAATTCTAAAATTTTTATTTTGGCCAAATGACTACAGATTTCCATCATTGAAAATGTAGAATTAATCAGTGACTCATAAAATGTTTTAATATGGCTGTGTTTGCAACATATATTCAAAATTTCACTCTTGCCAAAGCATCTGATCTCTGCTTAGAAACTTGTAATTAGATATTAAAAAGGAACAAAACAGAAGAGAATCACATAAATTCCCCCCAAGTTTTCCACATTACACCATAAAACTAGTACTTTATAAGAAGGGACAGAAGCCATCTAGAAATAGGAGCCCTATTCACAAGGTGTTTTCAGTAATTTCCTTCCTGATCTGAAAATCCAAGTAATACAGCTGGAAGTTCTCCAACTGGTTTTAATTGCTGTATAATCTTTAGAGAAAGAGGAATCAGTAAAACTGGATCCACACCAGAAACAACTTTAAAGACTCAAATTAATTCTTTGAATTATATTCAAAAGCCAACATCCTTTTCAACCAAACTTTCATTCATTCATTCATTGGTGCCCCAGACATGTATTATTCCAGGCATGGTAGTAGGCTCTGGAGATAGGCACAAAGTCTTGGTCTAGTAGGGCAGAGAGACAGATAAATTATTTTATAGCACTGTTAGTGTCTGTCAAATTTCTACCCAGCCTTAAAGCCCAGCTCAAGTGTTATCTCTTCAGTGCATTATCTTCATGTTTGTTTCAGTGAGAATGTCTTTCCCTCTTCCATGTTCCCAGGACTACCCTGCTAGCAGCCCTTACTCAATTATAATTATATATTTACATCTTTCATTGCTTCTGCATCTCCTACAGTGCAAAGCATAGTGTCTATATTAAGAGCAGAGTACTTGTTTATGATACTGAACTTAATGATAAAGACGTTACCTTTTGCAAATGGAATAGATACCCTCGCCACCGTTGATGAAAGTGTAAATTGGTGGAGTCTCTTTAGTGGGAAATGCCATACCTTTCAAAAATGTAAATTCACATACATAGATTTAACAGTTACAGTCCTAGGAAACTATTCTACAGAAATTTTCATAGATGTGTAGAATGCAAGAGTACTCATTGAAACATTGTTTATAACTGTTTTAAAATTTGATAAAAACAGAATATCCATGAAAAGGGGAATAATTGACTAAATGGTATAATATAGAATAATTTAAAAAGTGTGATGTGGGGACTTCCCTGGTGGTCCAGTGGTTAAGACTCTGCACTTCCACTGCAGGGGGTAGGGGTTCAATCCCTGGTCGGGGAACTAAGATTCCCACATGCGCTGAAATGGCCCAAAAACTAATAATAATAAAGATAGTAAAAGTAAACAGCTTGTCACCTCTTTCTAGAGAAGTCCCATAATTCTTGAAGAACCTGCCCAGACCTTATTTCTACCTTAAGACTTTCCTAGATTGCCCCAGGCTAAATACACCCCTACATGTTATTTTCTACTCTTTTACTTCTACTGCTATTTCTATCATTATAGTCTGAATTGTATTACAGGTGTTTTTTGTTGTTGTTGTATGGGTACATACTCTCACCAGACTGTGAATCTCTAGAGATTAGAACATAGTTTAATTCATCTGATTTTTGCACGACAAACTTCTTTGACACATATTAAGCATATAAGAGATATTACTTGAAATTCATTACATGGGGTTGTGCAGGTCATTCCCCCCAGTTACTCCCCACCCCCACTCTCACATACCATAGGATCATTTTTGTGCATTTCCAAAACAAAGCAAATCCAAAAACCTATAAAGTGGGAAGCTGATGTAAAAAGTACTCTCTCTCTAAGCATTCTCTGTGTCCTGCAGAAAATTTTTGAGAACCATGCTCTCCCACTTCTGTTTTTCTTACTTTTCTTACATGAAACATTTAGAAATGACTCACTTTGAAACTCTTTCTGTGGAGTCAGATAGTTGTCAAAAGTGTTGGGTTTAATTTATCATCAGAAACGAAGAGAGAGAGGAAAGAGGAGGTGCTCAGCAAATTTCCTAAACATACTTGACTGTGGTCAAGACAGGACTCGTGGAGACCTCCAGATCCATGCTGAAGTCTTCAGCTACTATCTCGGGTTTTTGGTAAGGAAACCTAGATACACCTGAAGACTTGTGCCCAGCTTGTTTTGCTCATTATTGATAATGGTTTGAGAGTCATTATTTTCTATTTCCCCTTATTCCTTCCCCAACTTTTATTTCTTTTGCTTTATTCCCATGTCCACCTTTTTCTTTTTCTAAATATTCCACATTCTATTTACCTCTGTTCTTAATATTTTCATTCTGGAACTAATATTGAATTTTTACATCATTTTTCCCTGTCTTAAACTGGCTGTTTCTCCTTCTCACCTTTGATTCCAGCTTTCTCCAATAGTTTTGTTTTCCAAATCATCGATTGCCTATTTTTTCTTTTTTTTTAAATAAATTTATTTATTTTTGGCTGCATTGGGTCTTTGTTGCTGTGCGTGGGCTTCCTCTAGCTGCAGCGAGCAGGGGCTACTCTTCACTGCGGTGCGCAGGCTTCTCCTTGCGGTGGCTTCTCTTGTTGCAGAGCACAGGATCTAGGCGCGTGGGCTTCAGGTGGGCTCAGTAGTTGTGGCTCGTGGGCTCTAGAGCGCATGCTCAGTAGTTGTGGCGCACGGGCTTTGTTGCTCCGCGGCATATGGGATCTTCCCAGATCAGGGCTCGAACACGTGTCCCCTGCATTGGCAGGTGGATTCTTAACCCCTGCACAACCAGGGAAGCCCCTGCCTATTTTTTCTTAATATATATATATTTTTTCCTCATTCCATTTCTCTTATTTATTTATTTTGCTCATTCCTTATTGCTACTGATTCTGTCATCATATCATTAGTTCTGATTCTGGAATCTATTTTTCTTTCCCTATCGTAGTTGAATTTTGGTTTCAGGAGTTTACTTATCTTTTTATTTACTTGTTGGCCAATTCAGTATTGAAAACTAAAAAAAAAAAAAAGGTTGAGGTACTTTTCAGCCAACACACTTGTTGAAATATAAAATGTTATCTTGCCCAGAAAGATTTTTAAGATTCTGATTCATATATACTTTCATTTCAAGACAGATACTATGTAATATTTAAAATGTAGCTCACGCCAGATGACTCAATTTCTTTGTATTGGAATTTTGCTCTTTTCAGTCTTTATCACTTCCTTATTATTCTTTATTATTGTGCGGCTCTTGGTGCCTTTCCCTTTATTAGCAATACCAAAGGCTTTTCAGTTATGTGATTATTTGTAGTAAAAAGAGTATTGGTCTGACAGTCATTGGACCAAGGATATGACAACCCTCTTAGTTGTGAATATGTAAAAGTCCCCTAATTTGCTGAGTTTCAGTGTCCAAAACTACAAAATAAAAATAGAGACAAGAAGAGATGATTGCTAACTTTCCTTTCAGTCCTAGAATTCTATGACTATCGGTCTCTCAATATTTTATGGGTCTATGCGTGAATATGTGTGTAGGACAATGGATCAGGGTAGCTGCCACGTACAAAAGCGAAGGAAGTGACCCTGACAGGACTTGAATATTGGAATAAGCAAGGTTACCAAACGGAGAATGAGAATCACTTCTTCTTTTTTAGTATTTTGTTGTCTTAGTTATTTTAACTTCTGCTAATCCCTATGGCAGCTTGTAAACTCAGCAGAACAGCTTCAAGTCACACAGTATTTTGGACTTCTACAAAAGGAAACATAAAATGCTGTTACAGCCAGTAAGAATTAGGAACTGGAAAACAAAAAAGGAAGTTAGAAGAGACAGCATCCTTACTGGATTAAATGGACAAGCATAAGAATTTTTCACTTAGTTGAAAAAGAAAAAAAGTTAACCCCCAAAATGAGCATCTATCCATTCAAGTAATCTTTAATTGTGCTAAATTCTGTGGAACGAGCATTTAGGAACAAGATTCTTTTTTACCATTATGAAACTTAAGGCCAGAATGATAGATAAGACAGCCACAAAAAGAATTATAGTACAAGATGAAATGCATCATTGCACAGAGAATATGATAAGAAGTTCAACCCCCCCACACACCCAAAAATAGGAGGCTGAAGAAATAGATTATGACTGGGATTATAAGAGAAGTTTCAAGGAAGATATATTTGAGCTTGATCTTAAAGAATGGCTAGGATTTCAACAGATAGAGATTAAAAATGGAGGAAAGAGGAGGTTAAGGTGGAGGATATAATTCCATATAGAAGTAAACAGCATAGACAAGGAATAGAAAATGGTATTGACTTGGAATAGTGAGTTGTTCAGGAAAGCTATAAAGTAGGGTATGTTTATGGGAATGTTGAAAATCAGGGAAGGGTAATGTCACAGAGGCCAAGAGAAGAAAGTGTTAAGAAGCCAGTGTATCAAATGACATGGATATTGTGGAGGATAAAGACAGAGAAAAAGGTGCTTGGGTTTGTTATCTAGAGTTCGTTCTAGCAGCATGATGGGGCAGAAGACCAATTACAAAGGGTTGTGAAGTGAGTGGTGAGAACAACAGACCCCAAAACAAGCCAGTATCCTTGAAGAAGAGAAACAATGCTACATTAAGAGACTTAAGAAACATGCAGTGTGATCCTAGACTGGATGTAATTGTTGACAAATCAGGTGTAAAGGATTGTTTTGGGGACAGCTGGAAAAAATGGATAAAGTCTGAGTATTCCTTACGGTACAATCTTACTGTATAATGTGGAGACTGCTAACTGATGAAAGTGATAAAAGAAAGCAGTTTATATAAAACAATATGCATTTACACCCATGTTCATAGCAGCATTATCCACAGTAGCTACAATGTGGAAGCAACTCAAATATCCATCGACAGATGAATGGATAAACAACATGTGGTACATCCATACAGTGGAATATTATTCAGTCTTAAAAAGGAAGACAATTCTGACACACACTACAACATGGATGAAACTTGAGGACATTTTGCCAAGTGAAATAAGCCAGTTACAAAAAGACAAATGCTGTAGGATTACATTTACATGAGGTATCTAGAGGAGTCAAATGCATAGAAACTGAAAGTAGGATGGTGATCGCCAGGGGCTGCGGGGAAAGGGAAGTGAGAAGTTGTTTTCTAATAGGTATCGAGTTTCGGGTTTACAAGATGAGAAAGTTCTAAAAATTGGCTGCACAATAATGTAAATATACCTAACACTACTGAACTGTACACTTAAAGATAGTTAAGATGGTAAGTTTTATGTTATATGTATTTCACCACAATTTAAAAAAATTTTAAACCAATATGCACAGTATAATCTAATTTTGTTAAATTTTGCTTAACAAAAAATATACATACATATAGTATACATGTATGTATGTGAAAAAAGATCCAGAAGGATGTAAATTAAGATACTAAAATAGTAATCCCTGACTAGTGGTATATGACATTTTTATTTTCTTATTTTTGCTTGCTTATGTTTTCTAAGTTTCTTCATGAATGATTTCTTTTTTTATTTTATTTTGTTTTGTTGGCCATGCCAAGTGGCTTGCGAGATCTTAATTCCCCGACCAGGGGTGGAACCTGCGCCTCTTTCAGTGGAAGCGTGGAGTCGTAACCCCTTGACTGCCAGGGAATTCCCTATCTCCATGAATGATTTCTGTCTCTGCAATAATCAAGCTATTTTTCTCGAGTTATACTCACAAAAAACAAATAAGAAAGAAATGATGAGTGGTAAGGAAATCAACGCAAAGAGGGAAAACAACTCTTGATAAATTTGACAGCAAAAGGAAAAAATGAGGTTGTATCTAAAAGACATGACTGAGGGAATTCCCTGGTGGTCCAGGGGTTAGGATTCTGAGCTTTCACTGCCGAGGGCCTGGGTTTGACCCCTAGTCGGGGAACTAGGATCCCACAGGCGGTGCAGGGCACGGCCAAAAAAGAAAAAAATTTTTTTAATGTTATTGAAGTATAGTTGATTTACCATGTTGTGTTCATTTCTACTGTACAGCAAAATGACTCAGCTATAAATATATATTCTTTTCCATTATGGTTTATCACAGATATTGAATATAGTTCCTTGTGCTCTACTGTAGGACCTTGTTGTTTATCCATCCTATATATACACTAGTTTGCATCTGCTAATCCCAAACTCCCAATACTCCCCTCCCCCACCACCCCCTTTGGCAACCACAGGTCTGTTCTCTATGTCAATACAGTAGATTTTAAATTGTCTTTCAGAGAATGTTTTTGTGTAATCCAATGTGAAGTCAGAAAATAAAACTGAAACAGTGTGAGGGTCTTTGTGACTCTACATCTTTATGTGGGGAGGTTAGAATTCTAAGAATATGCATTTTTTTAAGTTAGTTTTAACATTTTTGTTTATATTTTTATAAAAGTTTAGCAATGGAGTCTTTCTCTGCTGAGACCAATTCAACTGACGTACCATCACAGCCCTGGGATGAACCCCAAGTAATCCTCTCCATGGTCATTCTCAGTTTCACTTTCCTACTGGGATTGCCAGGCAACGGGCTGGTGCTGTGGGTGGCTGGCCTAAAGATGCAACGAAGTGTGAGCACCGTTTGGTTTCTCCATCTCACCTTGGCTGACTTTCTCTGCTGCCTCTCGCTGCCCTTCTCCCTGGTTCACTTGGCTCTCCAAGGACGCTGGCCCTACGGCTGGTTCCTATGCAAGCTCATCCCCTCCACCATTGTCCTCAACATGTTTGCCAGCGTCTTCCTGCTGACCGCCATTAGCCTGGACCGATGTCTTTTGGTACTCAAGCCAATCTGGTGCCAGAATCATCGCAACGTGGGGGCAGCCTTCACTATCTGTGGATGTATCTGGGTGGTGGCTTTTGTAATGTGCATACCTGTGTTCATATACCGGGAAACATTCACTATAGACAACCATAGTATGTGTGGCTACAATTTTGGTCTCTACAGATCATTAGATTATTCAGACTTCAACTTTGATCTACTGGAAAACGGGTCTCTTGACAACTCCATTGTTGAGCTGCCTGAAGAAACGGATGATAGGTTAGATTCTTTCTCTCAACAAACAAATGCTTGTCCCTGGGCAGCCACTGCTGGCCTCTGTTCTCAAATATCTCAAAGAACTTCTGGACATTCACTCCCTACGGATTCAGCTAGATTATCTGTTCAACATCCATATTATAATGTATTTAAACCAGCTGATGAGCTCTCAGCTACAATCCCCAGTGATTTTCCCATTGAAGATCACAGAACTAACCCACTGGAGAACTCTGATGCTTTTCTTCCTGCTGATTTAGACCTTTTCGCTAGTGCCTCCGGCAACTCCTCATACACATCGGAGCTATTGGAAGATTTCCAGGATGATGATTTCGGCCAATTTGCATACGGCCATCAAGTGCCAGCACCCCAGGTAGCAATAACCATCACTAGGCTAGTGCTGGGTTTCCTGTTACCCTTTATCCTCATGGTGGCCTGTTACAGCCTCATTCTCTTCCGAATGCGTTGGAGCCGCTTCACCAAGTCTCGGAGCAAAACCTTGAGAGTGGCTATGGTGGTGGTGGCTGTCTTCCTCGTCTGCTGGGCTCCGTACCACGTTGTTGGAACCCTCTTACTGTTTATTGACCCAGAAACTCCCTTTGGGGAAGCTCTGTTGTCCTGGGACCACGTGTCTCTTGCTTTAGCATCTGCCAATAGTTGCTTCAATCCCTTCCTCTACACCCTTCTGGGGAAAGATTTCAGGAAAAAAGCAAAACAGTCCATGCAGGGAATTCTGGAGGCAGCTTTCAGTGAGGACTTGACACACTCTACCAGCTGCCCCCCAAAGAAAGTCTCTTTGGAAAAAAACAGTATCAGTACAGTTGTGTGAAAATATGGAGCAGCTGACCCAACCAGAGGTTCTTAGGCATTCACCCAGCGCATCATATTTCTAAAAAGACAACAGAGATAGGGAGCAGGGCATTTCAGAAACTGTCAGAGAATCAATCCAGAGGGTCTTAAAGTGTGGTCCCAGACTAGTGGCATCGGTATCACCTGGAAAGTTGATAGAAATACAAATTCTCCAGCCCCACCAGAGACTTGCTGAATCAGTCTCTGGGGGTGGGGCTCAGACAGTGTTTTCCCAAGTTCCCTTGTTTCGGATGAATGCTAAATTTGGGAAGCATTGTAAAAATTAGTCTATTTCTATCTCAAACAAAGCCACGTGAAATAAATGCGAAGGCAGTCTCCTTTAAAATGTTTCCATCATTAAATTTCTTTCTAATTTCCTTCCAGATTCAAGTTAAAACCATTTCTTCTAGTCCTACCTGAGTGAAAGGTGATCATTTATTCTATGGCTTTGTTGTGGTGATGGTGGTGGTGATAGTTTTAAATGAAAAAAAAAAAGGTGCAAAAAGAAAGTCTATAAAAACAAGGAGTTATGAGTCTGAGTCTGGAGCAGAGTACAATGCCAGATGCCTGCAACTTGGAATACTCCTGGATACAGGACGTAGGAATTCTGAGTTTCCATTATTACAACTAAATAAGCGTCTATTGTGTAAAGACAGACTACTTAGGCATCTAAAGACTTTCTCATGAAACAGTATGTAAGCCACAGTTCGGGGAGTTCTCTCTTCCCTCTGTTTGCTCTATCTGCCTATTGATAGAATCATCTCTCTTTCATTCCTTTTCTTAAGCTCCTTAATTCCCTTATTCCTCCCCTGCCTCTAAATCTTCTTCCAGACTTTATGCCTCTAATAACCAATAGTTTCATAAGATGCAAATTACTCCCCTCCTCTAGCTCCACATTGGTACTTTCCAAGAAACTCATTTCAAATGAAAGGAGAAAGACGGTGGAGGATAGGGCAGCAATTCTTGAATTCACTGCAATGTAACTGAGTACCCTCTGGGCACGTTATCCAACTTTAAAAGAAAACATGACTGTAGGTGTGTATCTTTCATGCCGTAATTACCAGATATATCTTCGGGTTTTTTTTTTAATTAATCTTTATCTTTACCAAAGTAATACATGCACATAACTTAAAGAGAACCTAAGGCTCATAATGAAATCTAACAGGTTTCCTGCCCCACTCTGCCCAGCCCCTCCTTCCTCCCACTCCCACTTCCCAGGGATAACCTTTGAAACGATTTTAGATGTTTCCTCTGATATTCACCATGATAGTTCTAAGTCATGACCTTATGCTGCTAAGTTTTCGTAGACGTATAAAATGACTTCTTGTTTTGAAAGACGACGATTTTTATCCAAACACATTCATATTTTTTGTTTATTCAGCATCCCAATATTCATTACCCATCATCCTTTAAATTTGTTCACGATCACACATTTTCTTCTACTTTGTCGACCCATTCCAACCCCCCTTCTCTTTCTCTTTCTCTTTCATTTTTTTCAGAAAACATTAGTAAACCCCCATCACCTCATTTTTCTCTGTATATAAAGTTTTATGTGTTAAACCTCTAAATTTTCAGGTTTTGTTTGTACTACAACATAGCCTCATCTGTGTACAGTGATTTAATCTGAAAAATAGAAAATGAGATGTCTTAGACTTTACAAGGCACTATCCTTTGTTCAGTGGTTGAGGGGAGGGTCTGGACTACAAATAAGTTATAAAGTACTATGTGGAAAAGTGTCAAATCACTAGGAATGCTTTCAGTTGTGCAGTAATGATATCTGACATGATGTGAGATTTGCCATGCTACCTTCCAATTTAATCTGATCATATATTTGATGTGAATAAATGCTTTATTTCTGAATGTTTCCTTGCAAGGCTGAGAGATTCATGGATCCTTTTAATTGTTTGACTCTCAGAATATATCATAACCTCTAAACATACGGCAAATATAAATCTCATAGTGGGTAGCTGTAGGCTTACTATAATGATGATTAGCTGGGCTTCTGGAAATCCCAACATTTCTCATGGGACCCTGGGTATAAGTCCCTAACTTCTAGGGTTACTGTATAGGATACCAGGGTGAATGATTCTGGCATAGTTATAAAGATTCAATAGTTCAATAGTTGACATTTCTGGACTCCTTTTGCGAGTTCTATTTACCCTGGAAATGTATTCTGAAGAAATCCCTACCATTGGAATTCCCTCATTTCCAATGGAAAACTCTGGCGAGTACCTGTAAGTGTTCACTGGGAGTCCCAGAGGGGGACCCAAGTCTTCCTCAAATTGTAGGATATTTAATCTTTAAAATATCCCAGAATGCAAGCAAGATGGCTTAGCCCACACATCAAGCTGCAAGGGGGCACTGCCTCTCCCAACGATATTTCGCTATATTTAATAGCATTTGAAAAAAAGAATGTTAAAGGCATGCTTTTAATTCTTTTTTCCCATCAATCTTACCAAGAATGTCAGGGTCAACTAATCAAACCCAGTGAGGGGTGGTGAGGGGGGCAATAGAAGACAAATGCTTTCACATTTCTCTTTTCCTACCCTGGCAAAAACAAATTTAAGACCAGCGCCAGGAAGATAAAACCATAAACATTCTTTTTTTTTTTTATTAAGAAAGCATGCAAACAACAACAACTTGTGAGACCATACACCCCCCGCCCCAGCCTGCACCAATGCAAAGCATTATGGGTGGTATGAAGGACTCACCAAACCAGAAACGTGGGGGTTGAAGAGAGAAAGGCAGGGATGGGCGGATCAATACCAACGAATTGCTCCTTCCATCCCTCTCCTCCACTTTCTCCCTTACTTCCTCTTTTAGGCAGTGAGCTCCTGCAGTTTCGCACACATCACCCAAGACAACAACAATGACAAAACTTTCACGGCCAGCAACGCTGGACCAACAAGACAAAGTAGGATTCTTTCCATTTCATGGAGGGTAGGGGAAACCGAGGCCCAAAGAGGGTCAGGTTTGTCCTGTGCCATTTAGCAAGGCTGGGTTTAGTGGAGAGGAGCTAAAATCCCAGAAGGCCTGACGGCCAATCTCCAGCCCTAGCCCCAGACTTCAGTTACTCCGGCTGCCTGCCAGAGTTCTTAATGACCCTCGTTTTCAGAAGACACAGATGAAATATAAACAAGAGACATTTACATGTCTGATTTAGTCTACCCTTGCAAATCCTGTATGGATCTGGGTAGAAAAGGGGTTTAGAAAGGAGTGATGATTTGTCAAGGGGGAATCTTAGGGAGAACAGATGGGACGTTGTATGTAGGAGGCACCTTGACTGGAAGGGTAAGGAAGACACGCCTCAGATAAGGACACTGGGCAAAGGCGTGTCACCACCCTCAAGAGAAATTCTCCCTTCCCCAAGGGGAAATCTTACGGCATACTTCAACCCCACTAACTGCCCTCCGACACCATGGGGGATTCACACCACTCACACCCCTACTTCTTACAAAGAACTTCAAAGAAATAAAGTGCTGTTTAGTTAACTGCCCTTTCTTGCCCCCTGACTTCAGCCTCACTGGACGTCTTCAACAAACTCATATAGCATCCCTTACGAAGAAAGGAAGGGGCGGATGAGGGGGACAAGCAGGAGAGCAGAAAGCATGGGTAAATAAAAGAATATGAACACAAAGCAGAAATCACAGAGAGAGTGGCCTTGTCCATTCGGTACATTTTGTCCTGCAGCTTTGAGAAAGTGAACATTCAGCAAAATAAAAACAGAAGTAAAATTGTTCTCCCCTCTCATGACTAAGATTCAATGATTAATATCAAATATACACTAAGTACTTTGCAGCAATAAATCATGGCCACTCCTTGTTAAAGGAGGTTAAGTTATCCCTGTACCTTTCTCTGGGCGGGGGCGGTCTCCCTTGGCCCTCATGGAACTCTTTGCTTTAGGTTACTTATTCCCCTCTACCAATTTCCCTTCACCCCTCAAAAGCCTGATTGCCAAAGCCTCAGCCCCAATGATCTGGATTCCAAGAGAAGCATTTGCCTACATTGTTAAATAACTGAAATATTCTCCACCCACGTCTATGCCAGCTCCCCTCTCCTCCCCGCACCCTCCTGCCACCAGTACTGTAGGTTTGGTTCTGCTATGATGGGTGGGAAAGAGATTCCCGTCTTGCCCTAGGCTGTGGTGAGACTACAAGGAGTAATGGGTTACTCTCCTTTCTTGAGAATGCCAGAAAATGGGGGAAGAAAATACCATGGGTGGAAGAGATGAGTAGACAAATAAAGGAGGACAAAATAATATTTGCTGAATGAGATAAGGGGGTGAAAGGATAATTGGTAAATGCAAATAAAAGCCACAGTTGATTTCCAGAGAAAATGATGTTTAAAAAGTCAAAATGGTTCAACTGAAACCATCTCCAAAAAGCTGAACCTACGCTGAAGAGTTGTCCTCATTTCCACCAGAGAAGCAGAGTTCTGGCTAAGCCCGACTCTAGCTCCTACAGAGAACAGGCCAGGAATAAGCCAATGGCAGTTTATCTGACAGAGTAGCACAGACGCAATTTCTGACTGTCTTATATTCCATCATCCCTCTATGATATTCTACCCGACCCAACCCAGACCTCCTATTCCACTAGGATTTTATTGCCACCACCATCACGCTCACCCTTGATGGGGAATGAGGGTCAGCAGAAGTAGGATTGGAGAGATAAAGGGACAAGGAAGAGCTCAGAGGACAAAATTAGCACCATTGAGTAAAACCTGCAAATTCATGGTTGCCAAGCAGTGTTTTAGATCCCTTCTACTCGATAACGTGGCTTCTCCAGTCCTGGATCCAACGGATACCCACAGAAAACAACGTGGGGCTGAAAGGTGGGACTAGCGCTGACTTTCCCAAAACGAAAAGGAAATCAAAGTTTGAGACCCTTCTCTGCGGCTCTCATGGCCTCACCTTCCAGCCAGATGATTTTAAATTAGCAAGAGGTGGACGTGGTCCATGGTGGAGGGACAGGAGACCGGAGACAGCATATAACCAATAATAATAATAATAATATAATAAGAATAATAATAAAAGAATTAGGAAAAAAACAAGAAGGAAGAGGAAGAATGAGGCAGAAAAGAGGGGGTTATCTTCGGCAGCATCTTGCGGTGGCTTCTCTGGCAGAGAAAGAAAAAAAAAAAAAGAGGATATATATCTATATACAGGCAAGGGCGGAAGGGATGGGCTGGGACTGTGCTTTCCCCACTGCCAGACTTCACCACCCAGCCCTGGGCTGATGGCCAGGCTCTCAGATGCACTAGGTAATCAAGTCCCAGTCGAAGTCATCAGGGATCTCCTCATTGGCCCCAGGAGGTGGAACTGGCGGCCGAGGGACCATGTGGTGTGCTGTGGGAAGAGAGAAGGAGATTAAAAGGAGAGTGGATGGGAAGCCGTTCTATCCATCTTGACGGATGGTCGTCAACCCCAAACACCACCATGGGGAAGGTCTGGGGAAACTATGGTCCTTATCAGCCCAGAGTTATTTTTGTTTCCGGCCACCACTTCAGTGAGATCTCAGGAAAGACTCAGAGTAAACTAGGCCACATGGCAATGTCACAGTATGCAGCCATTAAAAATTATACTCATGGGGACTTCCCTGGCGGTCCAGTGGTTAGGGCTTTGCGCTTTCACTGCCAAGGGCCCGGGTGTGATACCTGGTCGGGGAACTAAGATCCCGCAAGCCACGATGCGCGGCCAAAAAACAAAAAAAAAGAAAAAAAAATTATACTTAGGAAGACTACATAATAATGACAAAAAAACATACAGAATATACTATTACATGAAATAGCAATACAGAAATTTGTATATAAATCGCACGGAAAAGGAAAACTTGGACAAAGAGATGAACGTCACCTCCAAAATTGAAAACACTGCGGTTAGGCAGCATGATAACAGTGATTTTTCTCAAATGCATTTAAAGGTGAAGGATCTGTTCGTTCTGTAGTATTTATGGCAATTTAGGGTCTCCCCACCTACTCTCACCATCAGAGGTAGTTCAATCCCAGAACCCTGATACTAGAGGTCAGGAAGACAAGAAAGCAGATGTGGGCACAAAGCAGGTACATTTGCATAACATGTTCATGTCATTTGTCTGAGTGTACCTCCCACTTAGATTCCGAAGCCAGGCATAAATGTTCTACACGTCTATCTTTTGTTTATAGCCATGCTTCTACTTCCTTTCATCACTGCAGGCACGAGCTCATTTTAAAGTAAGTCGGTCTTCTTTAGTCTCCCATGACATACACCTCCCCAGCAGGTGGACCACCCTCCAGCCTTGAGAATCAGGAAGGCTCACCCCCTCCCGGCAGGTGCAGGCAAAAGAGCCAAGAATGCAGGTTCGGAGCCATAGGAAAGCCAAACGACTCGCTGGTGGTGAAACAAGCTTCCTGGTTCTTACCTGGGCGATTGTATCCTGCTGAGTCCTGGGTGGCAAGTGGGTACATTGGTGATGGACCCGGGTAGAGGTGGGGGGCTTGAGGGTGCACATAAGAGTTCACTGCCAAAGCAAGACAAGAGTTAAGTGAGTGGGACCATCGTATTCAAGGAAGCAGAGTCAGACAGAGAGGGATAAAAAAGTACTCTTCCTCCCCTTCATTTCTTCTCCCTTCCCTGCTCTGTTCTGTAGCTCCTGTGGGCATCAAGGCTTTCTGCAGAAGCTATCAGTCCTCACCACTTAGGGCACAAAGGGACCCGATACTAGTGGAGTTCAATATCACAGCTATCAGAAGGATGACAAATATGGAACTGTGATCATTGACTCTTACTTCACCAGTTTGAAGACCATATAACTGTAGAGAATCACAACTCCACCTAATTACAATCCAGGGAAGGGTTACTGAGACACAAATTTGGAACAGGGACTTTCTCCTCCCTTTTCTT